TCCCCAACCACTTCGGATTTTAAAAATTCTTCCAAGGTAGAAGCCATGTTAATTCATCTTTGAAAACCCTAACCCTAACCCTCATCCCCTCCACCCCTAGGGCACTGGCGCCCAGCTCGGAGCAGCAGACTGCGCATCCTGCAAGGTCTACCGAATGAATGAATGAACGAGTAAAGGACTAAAGGGAGGAATTCGAGTCCTCACTGTGCCATCTCCAGTAAGCAGCCGGTCACCCGGGCCTCTGTTTCCCCAAGCGCTCTGCTCAGGAGACGAGGCAGACCAGGGGAATCGCAGACTCGGCGCTCCTCCGGGCGGGGCTAAACCGGCTGTACCCAGGCGCTCCCGGAGGCGAGGCGGGTGGAGGCATCAGGGGCGGAGCTAGGGCCCCCTCGCTGCGGGGCCATTGGCCGCACCCGCCGCCACCCGGCAGTAGTCGTGGAGGTCAGCCCCGCCCCTTCCTCTTTCCCTCGGCCTCTTTCCGGCGGCGGCGGCTGTGGCAGGTCGTGCAGAAATGGTGAGGGCGGTGGAATCGGGTGCCATCCGCGCGCTGTGGGGCTCGGGTCCTGGGGTGGGGAACTCGAGGTGAGCACTGGGGTCCCATCTGCCAGCCGGGCTTGTAAGGCGCCATGCGGAGTGGCCTCGTGCCGCCACAGCCGGTCTCCCGCCCTCTCCCCTTGCTGGGTTGGGCCCGCGCTCCCGGCGCCTCCGTCTTCCAGTCTGCGGAATGGGGGTAGCGGCTCAGCCTCGCGGCAGACCTGGGTGAAGGCGGGCCCGCCGGGGCGTCGGTCACCCTGCCCAAGGCACAGCCTCGGCGAGGGAAGCTGGCCCTGGCGCGCCCTCTTGGGGCTGTCAGGCCAGGGAGGGTGGCTGCTGAGGGGGGTTGGGGGAGGGAGGCGGCCCTATAGGGTGGTGTTTGAAGCACACCTGTACTTGCTTTCAGGCCAAGATTAAGGCTCGAGACCTTCGCGGCAAGAAGAAGGAGGAGCTGCTTAAACAGCTGGAAGACCTGAAGGTGGAGCTGTCCCAACTGCGCGTCGCCAAAGTGACAGGCGGCGCAGCTTCCAAGCTCTCCAAGATGTGAGTGCAGGCCGGTTCTCTGGGTGTGGGGCACACCTGTTCATCCGAAGCATGTGTGGGTTTTCGAGGCTCTCTAAAGGCAGCGTCGGATTAGGTGATCATTGAGCGGACGCGTGGGTGGGAATGTCACGTCCGTCCTACCAGCCTCCCCAGGCTCCCCTTGCTGGCACCCAGCCGCATGGGACACCGCTGTCTGATTGACCTCTTGTCTGCCTTGGACCATTTTGCCCTTCTGCCTGGAGTGCCCTTGCTCAGCTTCTCTGTGACGGGAGAAGGAACAGATTGTCCCTCCAGACCCTTTTTCAGGCTGCCTGGAAAAATCTACCTGGACCCTTTTTTAACCACCTTCCACCAGCAGTTGATTTTTTTCCCCCTCACTTGGTAGGTGGGTGCCTTGGGCCCACCCCTCCCTTGAGTTGTAGTTAACTTACTGATTTACACGGATCAAGAATCAGGGCTTGTGGGGCGCCTGGGCGGCTCAGTGGCTTAAAGTCTCTGCCTTCGGCTCAGGTCATGATCCCAGGGTCCTGGAATCAAGCCCCACATCGGGCTCTCTGCTCAGCAGGGAGCCTGCTTACACACATACACACACACACACCCCGCCTGCTTCTCTGCCTACTTGTGATCTCTGTCAAGTAAAGAAATAAAATCCTTATAAAAAAAAAAAAAATCAGGGCTTGTGAAAGGGATGTGGGTTTGGAGACTGCTGAACTGGGCACACGTTTTCTTTTGCCACATCCTACCTAACGTGTGCTGCCTCACCACCCAGTTTCTCTTTTGTTCTGTTTTGTGTTCCATCTTCTATAAAATGGGGCCCCCAGCAACCAATCTCTGGTGCTGGGAGGGGGTTGGATGAGTTGGGGAACACACAGGTTGCATGCTGAATGCTGACTGTGTTTACCAGCTGTTTAACCCAGTGGCCCTCTCTCATCCCCCACCAGGACCCCAATTCAGCCTGACTCCCAGCCTGTTCTTGTGTTCCTCCTTTCCCCTCATCGCGTTTCTGCAATGTCAAACGTCTTGTTTTTCCCTCCCAAATGGCCACTCCTGTGACTCCTGAGTCTGGTCACACAGCTGGTGGCAGGATTTCCCATAGCTTATTCATGTCTGCACTGGTTAGGTCTTCATAGCTCTGAGTGTGTGTGGCCTGGGGTGGAAGATCTTTCCTGATCTACCCTCCACTTCTCAATGAATACTTCATACATTCTCAGAACCCTTCCCTGTCCTACTTGTCCCTACTTGTAAGATGCCCACCTCCTAGAGTCTTCGGGCCTTAACCCCCAAAACACAGGGTTAGGTACCTCCTGGGTAATTATGGATGAGCTGGTGGGGAATCCAGGACATCTGGTCAGGTCCTGAATAAGATGCCTTGGAGAGGAGGGAGGGGGGCGGCAGCATTGTATGTCTCCACCACCTTCACTGATGTCTCTGTGTTTTGCAGCCGAGTTGTTCGCAAATCCATCGCCCGTGTTCTCACAGTCATCAACCAGACGCAGAAAGAGAACCTCAGGAAATTCTACAAGGTGAGTCTGGGCTGGGGGAGTTAGAAGCTTAGCTGCAGGCAGCAAAGTTTCAGCCCTCCCTTGGCCAGAAGGGTAGTATAAAGAGCTTCTGCTGGGATGCATGGGAATGGGCTTTTTTGCCTTTTAACCAGCGTCTTGCCACTGGCATGGCTCGCAGACTGCATATCCTCAGGGCTGCAGTTGTCGGGGTACCGACAGTGTGGTAAGAGTGTGGCTGGAGTTTGGGTTTGGAATTCATCTTCACCAGCTGAGTGGATTTGGGCAGTCTGTGAGGATTACCTTTAAATGTTTCAAATTGTTTTACCATCACTGTGTCAGTCACTTTCAAGCACCTGATACTCTCATTTTTCAGATGGGACCTCAAGGTGTAGAGAGGTTAAATTGCCCAGGTCACCTATAGTTAATGGAGTGATTGGGTCAATGTTCCAAACCATGTCTTAGGGAGGGGTGGATTGAGTGCTTCTGGGAGATTTTTACCACCATTTTCTGATCTTGTCCGTAATACTGGTGTTACCAGGGCTTAAGTAGTGAAGCAGAACCACTGAAAGACTTCATATGTGTGAGTACATGCATCTGATTTATTACAAAGAATTGGCCTTTGTGATTTTGGGGGCTGGCTAATAAGCCCAGAATCAGTAGGCCTGGCTGTCAGGAAGGGAAGTTCATGGCAGGCCAGGACTAAGACGACACAGTTGAAGCTGCTGTTCTCAGGTGGGATTTCTTGGGGGAGAACCTCTGCCCTGCATTAAAGGCCTTTGAGCTGATCGAAACAAGCCTGCTAAATCACCTGGGATAATCTCTCTCAAAGTCGGTTGATTAGGGGCTTTGAGTACATCTGCAAAATGGCTTCACGTCAACATCCCAGTTAGTGTTTGACTAGTTGGAGGCTTTCACTTGTCAAAAAAGGCCACCGTGTTGGGCCTAGGCTAGCTGCCTAGGGGACTCTAGCATGTACTGTTGGGCGGGCGTTGGGGGGGGGGTTGCCGTCATCCCTGGATGTGTGTATATTTGTGTGTGGGAGCGTCTTCCTGAGAATTGGGCTTGAAACTCTGATCAGGCTCTGTGGGCACCGCAGAGGTGGTCGTCAGGAAGAATTGTCTTCTTCCAGTGAGTGCAGCCCCTGCCAGGCAGCACTCAGGGCCATAAAGATGAGGCCTCTGCCCTCTGGTAGTTCTGTCCCATAGACTTTCTGCGGTGCTCGAAATGCTCTGTGTCTGCACTGTCCGGTACAGTAACCTCTGGCCACACACGGCTGTGGTGGCTGAAGACCTGGGTTTGTAATGTGGACCGTATGTGTGGCTAGTGCCTCGTCTGGTGGACAGCAGAGTTCTGAGGGCTCAGTCTGAAATGGATGAGGCCCTTGCCTGTGCTGCCGGTAATGGGGATATCGGTGGACAAAGACTAGCTTCCAAACCCCCACTTCAGAGCTTACCCTCATCTGTGCAGCTGGTTTCTGCAGCTCTCTGCCCTGAGGCTGTCACCCCTGTCCTGTGCCTCCGTCTCTGAGCTATTGGCAGTTTCCAGAAAGCACCTGAGCTGCCATCCCTTGGAGCTTTTGTGCACGCTGTTTTCTCCCCCTTGGAAGTGGTATTCACCAAATTGCTTGCTTTCCAGGCTGTTGCTGGTCATTAGGTGAAACCTTAATCTCTTTCCTCCTCCCCAGTGGTGGGCCCCCTGTTAGCTGTTCAGTCTTTCCCACTGGGCTGGGAGCTCCTTGAGCAGGGACCAGGTCTGATTCACACTAAGGCAGTTCCCCCTACAGGGTCTCAGTCCCCTGCGGGGCTGGGTGTAGCACACCTCCTCACTCAGGTCTACAGAGTAACCTCCGCACCCCAGTGGCCTCCCTCAGTCACTTCCGGCATCCTCCCCATGCTCCCCAGCAGCTCAGTTCCAGCCTTAGGGGCTTCCTTTGCTGCCACAGTAGCTCCTAAACCCTGGTGCTCAGACTCCCCCTGCTCTCCGGTCACCCAGGGTAAGAAGTACAAGCCCCTGGATCTGCGGCCCAAGAAGACGCGTGCCATGCGCCGGCGGCTGAACAAGCATGAGGAGAACCTGAAGACCAAGAAGCAACAGCGGAAGGAGCGGCTCTACCCGCTGCGGAAATACGCGGTCAAAGCCTGAGCACTGGCGCCAATAAAACAGACAAACTGGCTGGTGTTGCTTTGTGTTTGCGGGCGTTTTGAGTACCCATGCTGGAGAGGTGGGCTGCTGTGCCCCGGTGTGGGGGCGTGACAGTCCTGGCCGCGGGGATCTGGTGGGGGCTCCGTTGTGGTTGGTCTGGGCGCTGTGGTGTGGCGGTCCGCTCCCTGTCCTTTCATGAGTTCATCCCGCCAGCTTGCGCGCGCCCCAGGCAGGCAGAGGCAGGCTTCAGATCTGAGAGCCACCTGTGGTGATGTTACATCCCAGAGGCTCTGCGTGATTTGATAGAGCAGTGCACTTGGCATCTCGCTTAGTCAGCAGCTCCAGACACTAAGAGTTTCCCATCTGGGGTGAAGACGCAAGCATGGGCCACATCCAGGACTCCCTGCCAAAAGCATTTCGCTTTCAGGGTCCATGTGGTGCCTGCCCCCAGCCTCCCCCTGGCAGGCCTTTTACTGCACCTTTGGGTGCTACGCCCACAGGCCTTACCTTCAGGGTCTCAATGCATTTTCCTGTGTTGCAGTCCCAGACTTTGACCTGGAAATAAAAACAAGCAGAAGGGTGGGGAGACCTCACCCCGTAAGTCTGACGTCCTTGAAATCACTTTGGGGTGAGTCCTAGCCAACCTCTTAACCTTGTGGCATGGGTTTTGTTCTCTGCGGTGTATTTAACATGCTCAGCATATCTGATGTAAAAATTCAGGGCAGTGCAGTGCAGTTTTCTTTTCCCTGAAGCTGTGATGAGTCTTAAAAATGCCAATGCCAAGGGCAGCTGGGTGGTACAGTTGGTCAAGTCTTTGATTCTTGGTTTTGGCTCAGGTCATGATCTCAGTCATGAGTTTGAGCCCTGCACTGGGCTGAGCAGGGAGTCTGCTTAAGATACTCTCTGTCTCTCTCTCTCAGCTTCCGCCCCTCCCTCTCCCGTACACACTCTCAAAGTGGGGAGGCACCAGGATGGCTTAGTGTGTTAAGCAACTGCCCTTGGCTCAGGTCATGATCCCAGGATCAGGCCCCACATTGGCCTTCTTCTCAGTGTGGGGAATCTGATGCTCCCTCTGGGCACTCTCGAAATCTCTAAAAAAGAAAAAGTCATTGCCACTGGCATTTGGGCCAGCACAAACCTTAGTGCCAGGCCATAGGTACAGAAGTGGTTGGCAGCTGGGTTCTGCCCGTGGACCCCTCCCATTTAGGGCAAATAGGATACGGACATTTCTCAACGGCTGAGGAAGAACGTCTTGCTGAAGGAAGGTGTTGGGATAGGCGTTCGCCAGGAGGATGGGCCTGGCGGGGTGGGCTCACCGTACGGGAGTAACCGGCGCTGGCCAGCTGTGACTCATCAGGGGAGAAAGCTACGCTCTTCACCCACGTAACATGGCCCTTGAGCTGAGCAAGCAGGCTTCTGCTGGAGGGCTTCCAGATGTGGATAGTCTTATCCCAGGAGCCAGAAGCCTGCACAGCAGACAGCTCTGAGCCCGTGGGTCTGGAGCCAGCAGGGGACCAGCCCAGAACCCAGGGAATCGCAGCTCACCAGGAGGCCAGATGCCGAGTAGCACAGGCAGCTGATGTTACCACTGTGGCCCTCCAGCTTGTGGGGGAAGCTCACGGGGGTCTCCGTCCGCAGGTCCCAGATGCAAATAGTGGAGTCCCAGGAGCCAGTGGCCTGCAGACAGCTGCTGTGAGCATGAACCAGCTAACCCGTGCCCACCATTGTGCTTCCTAGGTAGCCAGACTCCGAGAAAGGCCTTCTGAGCCCTGCTGAGTTTCCCATCTTACAGATGAGGAAACAGGCTCAGTAGAGCGGTCACTCAAGGTCTGGGATTCTAACCACGGCTCCGCCCCAGGTGGGAAAGTGGGTATGGGCTCCAGGTCCCTTGCGGTGGGCTGGGGCAGAGGTGGTGTGGCTCACCAGGAAGTCTGAGCTGGGTGCGAAGTCACTGCTCTGGATGGCGTCTTGGTGCCCTCCCAAGTGGCGCAGCATCTGGCCAGACTGCAGGAGAGGGAGAGCCCTGAGCCTTGGAGGGCAGCCCAGAAGGCTTGTGCCAGATTCTAGGCCTCAGATGGGTCAGATCAGGCCCTCCTTGCGGGCTGCATGGGTAAGGTGATGACACAGGGTCTGGGGAGACTACCTGAGCCTTGACAGGAGAGGAGGCCAGGCCAGGCCAGGTCAACCTCATGGGGAGATGGATTGCCAGCTATGGGCGTGGGCAGTAGGGAAGATGGAGCGACCTTTCTGGGGGCACTGTTGGGGGTGGGGTGTGTCTCCTCCTGGTCCCAGGCCCCACCCTGGCCAGCCTTCCACACACCTGCACTTCCCAGAGCATCACCCGCTTGTCCCAGCCACCCGACGCCAGCTGCTTTGAGTCAGGGCTGAAGCTGACCGTCTCCACACTCCGCTGGTGACCTGCAGATACGAAGTTGGAGAGGGGTCACGGTGGAACGGGACACAACAAGATCTAAAAAGGAACCCAGGCCTGGCTGCTTGGCCGTCCCGTCCCGCTTACCCTTTAGGACATGCAGACACTTAGCTTCTGCTGCATCCCACAGGCGGATGGTACAGTCACAGGAGGTAGTGGCAAAACGGCGGCCATCAGGGGAGAAGCGGCAGAACTTCACGGGACCTGGGTAGGCAGCCGCCGTCGGGAACGGGGTGCCGCCCTCCTCTCCAGCCCCTGCTAATGCCCAGCCTTACCACCTGCTTGCCTTCTCACTCCCTTCTAACCCTCTCACCCTTCAGCTACCTGGCAAGCCAAGCTTCCACGGCTTCACCTAGAACACCCCAACCCTAATTTGCCCATTTGTAAAATCAATACCAAAAGCAAATGCAGGGACTTCCCAGTAACTTTTTGAGAGCCCACCCTGGGTTCAGAGTTCCAGCACTGGACTTCCTGTATTATTAGCATGAGTCAGTCTGCCCTGGAATCACCAGATTTTTTTCTTGTCTCAATAATAATTACAGTAGTTATATCTACTGGGTCCTTATTAGGTGCTAGACACTTCGCTTGAATTATCTCGTCCCATAGGGTAGCAACTATCTCTAAAGAAAAGGAAATAGAGGCTTAGGTGACACAACTTATGATCTCAGTCAAAAAAAAGTTTCATATACATGAAACCTTGAGGGACGTTATGCCAAGTGAAGTAAGCAAGTCACAAAGAGGAATACTGAACGATTCCACTTACACAAGGTACCTAGAGTAAATTCACTGAGACAAAGCGTGGTTGTCGCCAGGGTCTAAAACAATACCAATTGTTTAATGGGTATAGAGTTTACAGTTTGCAAGATGAGTTCTGGAGACCAGTTGCATAACGAACATACTTAACACTACTGAACTGTGCATTTAAGAATGGTTAAGACGGTAAATATGTATATCTTTAAACAATTTTTAGAACAATAGTAGAGTTGGGGCACCTGGCTGGCTCAATCAGTAGAGCATGAGACTCTTGATCTCAGGGTCATGCATTCCAGCCCCATGTTGGGTGTAGAGATTAAAATATTAAAAACAAACAAAAAAAATAGGATCTGAGTCCAGGTCTGTTGGCATCAAAGTTCCGAGGGACCGTGTCCTGTGTCCTTTCCCTACTGCTCCAGCCCTGCCCAGACTGTCTTGTCCGAATGCCCAGGTCAGATGTCAGAGGTCACTGTGATAGGCTCTACAGAATGCCAGACAGAACCACAGGCCTTCGCATCCACATCCAGCCTGAGGAGCCCCACCTGCATGGCCACTCAGCCTCCACAGCAGCTGCCCGCTCTGGGTCTCCCAGCCATACACACAGCCATCCTCAGATGCTGTCAGCAGCCTCTGGCCATCGGGAGAGAAGGCAGAGGAGTTGACCTGGAAGGAGAGCACAGAAGTAGCTCCTGCCTGGGGCAAGAAACACCTGTCAGCTTACCCTGACCTTAGACTCCAGGAACAGCCCCAAACACTGCCCCAGGAGCCCCGGGTGGGAGCTTGGACTTCAGGCTTCCCTCTACAACCAGAGCTCAGAATGCCAGAACCACTCTTGCAATCCGAGGCAAGAACTTGGAGCCCTCTCTAGAATTCTGTAAAACCTGAGCCCGCAGCTCAGAGCCCTCACTGAAAGTAGAGGCTGGAGCCTTTTCTAGGAGCAGAGCCAAGAGCCCATTCTAGAGATGGAGCCTAGACCTAGGAGTTGAAGACCTACTCTAAACCATGAGTTCACTTTAAAGCCAAAGTCAAAAGAACACTGGAGTCGGCCAAGAGTTTGAGCCCTCAAGAACCAGAGCTTAGAATCTGGAGCTGGGGGCCAGAGAAGCCAAGGCAGAATCAGGAACCACTTTAGACCCAAAGACAGGAGCTGAGAGTCAGCAGAGCCCTACTGGACCTCACCTCCCCACGGTGCCTGCTGAAGAATTTCACTCTCTCCACGGCCAGCGGCCCTGGGGCCCCGCTGTTCATGGGTCCCAGGCCGCCCGGCCCGGTGGGCTCTCTCCCAGGCGGGCGCTGGTCCGGCCTGCAGCCCTCACTTGGGACAGGGTAAGGGGGATGGGAGAAGTTGTGTACAAGCGGTCTCCATGGCAATCAGGGTGGGGTGCGCAACCGCCTCAGAGTCTCTGCGAAGCCAAGAGGACAGGTTGGGAGAGACGGCTCTCAGCTACTGGGAGGTGGGGCGCAACGGACAGAACCTCCGGGCGGCCCGGATTAGGGATTTACACGCAGGCCACCACCGCCAGCCCGACCTTGGGCAGCTCGGATCGCGGGGCCAGACGACGCGCACGGCGGCCGCTAGAGGGCACGCCAGCCCCAAACACTGCGTGCCTGAACCCGCGCACAGAGGCGAGTCATTCGCCTAGGGCTCCCAGACCCCTTTGAGAGGAGCCAGTTTCCCCATGTGCGCAATGGGGTTGTACATTCCCGCCCCCCAGGGACTGCAGGCTTGAGCCAAGAACAAGGCCTGGCACGTGGGGTAGGTGCCCAGGAGAACCCACCCTGGTGCCAGGACCTCTTTCCTTCTGGAGTGTCCAGTACTGAGGCTGAACAGCTCCCATGGAGGGGGCTGGAACAGATACCCAGCTCTGCCCTGCTGAATGTGTGTGTGTGGCCGGGGCGGGGGGGGGGGGGGGGGGCGGGGGGGGGGGGGGGTGTGTGTGTCAGAGGTAGTGTGTGTAAAGCACAGGGCATGAGAAAGTGGGGTCGCTTGCTAACATCTTGGCAGCACAAAATGTGGCATCCGAGGGTGTGGAGATGGTGAGGAGGCTCCAGGAGCTGTCGAGTTCCTTGCTGGATAGTTGAAGCTGATACCAGACAAGAATGGGATTTGGTTTCAATGTTCATTTTACAGATGAGGGAACGGAAGCTCCACAAGGTGGTGTGGGCCGGGGGGGGGGGGGGGGGACTTGCCCAAGGCCACTCAGGCAATAGGAAAGGAACTAAGACTTAGCCCTGTCTGACTGTCTGACTTTGTGGGCCTGTAGGACCATCTGCCATGAATTCCAGGAGCTTCAAGCAGATGCCAAGGTCCCTAACTCCTGGTACATCTGGGAAACTGAGGCCCTGAAGGGGCATATGTGGCCCAGTCATCCAGCACCTCTATGGCAGAGCTGGGCCCAGTCCCTCCAATGGGCCAGGGATGGAACAGAGACACCCTCCAACGGGCCAGGGATGGGATAGAGACATCCTCCCCGCCACTGTCCAGTGGATTCCAGGCTCCCTGGAGGCAGAGAGGTGGGGGAGCTGGGCTTTGGGAGCTTCAAACTCAAGGGTTCCCAGCCATGACTCACACCCCTTCACACACCCCCACACCCCCACCCCGACCTCTTTACCAGACTCTTCTCACGAGATCCACTGTGCTCTTGCTCTATTTTAGGTCCCAGACAGTCAGGCGGGAGAAGGGGCGACAATGGTGGCTTTGAGGCGGCACCACCCGCATCCTAACTCCAAAAGGGCCCAGGTCACTGAGTTGGGCCTGTAAGGCCACTACCTCATCCCCAGACATGGGTGCATACACAGCTCCCCAGAGCTGTCTGGATCCTGGGCCCTCTCCCCTCCCTCTGCGCAGGCAACCCTGCCCCCGAGTCCATGCCCCATCTGGCATTTCCCCAGCCAACTGGCTGCTCCTGCTCTACCTGGAGGGCCCAAAACCACCTAACCTAGTCCAGCCCATCACTCCCAGAGCACTGAGAACAGACCTTGGCCACCAGCCCAGGGACTACTCAGCTGGTAGAGCTGGAGCTCAGGTTAAAATCTTTTTTTTTTGGTTGGGGGGGCACCACCACTGGGGGTGGCTCAGTCAGCTAACCATCTGACTCTTTTTTTGGCTCAGGTCATGATCTCAGGGTCGTGAGAGGCCTCATGTCCGGCTCCATGCTGGGCATGGGGCCTGTTTAAGATTCTCTCCCTGTCTCACTGCCTGCCCCTCCCCCTACTCATGCTCTCTCTCTTAAAAAAAAAAAAGAAAAAAAAAGATTTTATTTATTTGACAGAGCAGGAGAGCACAAGCAGGGAGGAGGGGCAAAGGGAGGGTGGGGAGAAGTTGTAAGGGTCAATTCCAGGGTCCTGGGATCATGATCTGAGCCGAAGGCAGACATTTAACGGACTGAGCCACCCAGGCCCCCCCACCGATTCTTTTTTTAAAGTAAGCTCTAGGCCCACCTTGGTGCCTGAACTATTCACGACCTGAAGATCAAGAGTCACATGCTCTACTGACTGAGCCAGCCCCCAGGATTAAAACCTTTTTGCTTGACAGCGGAGTTTTGGCTGAAACTACCCACCATGAATTCCAGGGGCCTCAGGAGCCAAAGCATATCCACCTCTCCTGCCACATCCTATCCCTGTCCGCTGCCCTCCCACCCCCATCTTGCTCCCCAAACTCAGCTACAAGGGCCCTTTTTCCCATCCCTCCAGCTTTTCTCCCAACCTGGGCCTGTGTACACAGGGCTCCCCATCCTCTTGGCCTGATGCTTGGGCTCTAGCTCAAATATCACTTTTCCAGGGCGCCTTCCCTTGCCCATCCCCCAGTCTAAGTCAGAGCTCCTGCCCCAGAGATGGGCATTAGAGCCACCGGTCTGGGTTAAACTCGAGTTCTGCCACTCTAGCTCTGCATACCAGGCAAGTCACCTGATTACTCAGGGCCCTGTTTCCTCAACTGTAAAATGAGCACTGTCACAGTGTTTGTCTTCTAAGAAATCAGTGAGATGGTGCTAGCAAGGGCTCCTGGCAAGCAGTAAGCCCTCAGAGAAGTGGGAGAGCTTGTGACAGCCACAAGCCTAAAATCCAAACATGACTCTCTGAATGTCCTTTGCCAGGCTCACCCAAGCAGCCCGCAGCGGGGGATACCTCACAACGTGGAAAGAACCTAGTGCCCCAGGGCAGTCCAACTCCATGCCCAGTGGAGGCTGAGGGTCTGGGCAGAGGGTTTGGTCCGTGGTGGGGGAAGGGAGGGCGTGAGTGGTGGATCATGGTCACCATGGCAGCAGAAGTATTTCACTGGCCCAGGTTCTGCCCTTGGGATTGGGAGAGTCTGATTCTAACCTCTCCAAAAGGGTCCTCGAGGATGTTTGCCATCCCTTTTGCCACCCCTAGACTATCTCTTCCTTCTCAGGGAGCCTGCCACATTCTCTCCCCAGCCCAGATTGTCCGGGGTGGGGTGGGGGACAGGTTTTGCTGGATTTTTCTACTCTCACTTTGACTCTTTTTTTAATTATCATTTTTAAAAAGGGTTTTATTTATTTATTTGACAGAGACACAGCAAGAGAGGGAACATAAGCATGGGGAGTGGGAGAGGGAGAATCAGGCTTCCTGCAGAGCAGGGAGCCCGATGTGGGGCTCAATCCCAGGACCCTGGGATCATGACCTGAGCTGAAGACAGACACTTAACGGCTGAGCCACCTAGGCACCCCTCACTTTGAGTCTTGAAGGTGACCCATGGTCCTGGGACAAGCCTTGCCTCTCTTCTTTTTCTCAAAATACCTGCCTTCCCACGCCCCTTGGTTCCCTCTCAAACTGCCATGAGTACACAGCCACTTGAAAGATGAAACTGGAAATTCAGAGAGTGAAATTACTTGCTCAAGATCACACAGCCAGAAAGTGGTAAACCTGGGGTGCCTGCGTGGCTCAGTTGGTTAAATGTCTGCCTTCAGCTCAGATCATGATCTCAGGGTCCTGGGATCGAGCCTTGCATTGGGCTCCCTGCTCCACTGGGAATCGGCTTCTCCTTCTCCCTCCCCCTGCTCATTCTTTCTCTCTCTCTCACTCATTCTCAAATAAATAAATAAAATCTTAGGGGAAAAAAATGAGTAAAGCTTAGATTCTGATCCATATCGATAACCCCCAAGGCCTTGGCTCATTCCATGCACCAGACACTCTTTCAATATAGCTTGGGGAAGTTGGGGTATGAGCCCCCGTCCGCCCCCAACACGTAGCCCACTCTTCTGTGAATGGGACCTCACTACCCCTCAGGATAACCTATCCCATCACAGGAAACGCCCACTATTTTTTTTTTTTTTAAGATTTTATTTACTTGACAGAGATCACAAGTAGGCAGAGAGGCAGGCAGAGAAGAGAGGGGGAAGCAGGCTCCCCGCCGAGCAGAGGGCCCGATGCAGGGCTTGATCCCAGGACCCTGAGATCATGACCTGAGCCAAAGGCAGCAGCTCAACCCACTGAGCCACCCAGACGTCCCCCACTATTTTTTTTTTAAAAGATCTTATTTATTTATCCAACAGAGAGAGAGAGAGAGAGACAGCGAGAGAGGGAACATAAGCGGGGGGAGCGGGAGAGGGAGAAGCAGGCTTCCCGAAGAGCAGGGAGCCTGATGCGGGGCCTGATCCCAGTACCCTGGGATCGTGACCTGAGCTGAAGGCAGACACTTAATGACTGAACCACCCAGATGCCCCCAGGAAACTCCCACTGTTGGAAAGTCTTGGGTGAGTCAGAATCTGCCTCATACTGTCCAACAGAGTAGGAGCTAGGCCCAGCACATATCCCTGCAATTCCAGTCCAGGGACACAGCCAGCTAGCTCTGAAAGGCTACAAACAATCCAAATGGTCAAAAACTGTAGAAATAGATGATTGTATAGCCAAACCATGACAGCTACCCCACCAGGGACGTGAACAACACATAGCTCTGATATCGATGCAACGTAGCGGAGGGTGCTCTAGACATGGTCCCATCGTATACAAATTAAGACATGCCGAAGGCAACCCTCCATTACTCAGGCATACATCCACGGTACTGAAACTTTAAGAAAAGCAGGGAATGACAAACTTCCAAATTGCAAACTTCCAGAGTGGTTAACTATGAGGAGAAGATGGGAGGGGACACAGAGGGCCTGGAACAGTCCTCGTTCCTGGTGGTAATTCTGGCTCAGAGCTGGGCCATGGGCATCCAGGTGTTTGTTGAGTTGGTCTCTAATACTCTGCCCTGCCTATCTGGCCCCTGTCCACCCCTCCTGCCCACTTCTGGCTTCCTCACCTCCTCCTCCATCCCTTGTCTCCACCACCCGTGGTCCTGAGCAGCTTAGGGCATCAC